TAGAAAAAAAAACAAACATTTTTTTTGCAGGCTTTTTTTTTTTTTTTTTTGGATACAAGACTTAGAGAAAAGGTATTTGTTTTTAAGCATGGAACTTTTGAGAATCTTTATTAAGAAAATAACATAACAAAAAAAAAAATCTGTAGCCAACATATGTGGCCACATTACCAGTAATATTTTCTCTTCTTATTGGCCAAAAGGGAATGAAAATGTCACCATAGGAATCTGTAAATATGCTACTGATTTGCCTAGAAAATAGCAAGTTTGGTATCACTCTTTGCAAATATAGGGCCATGTGGCACTTTTATCTATAGGACAGATTAACTCTAATAAAAATGAAGAGGGGAGGGGTTTATTTTTGATATATTACTTCTGTGAGTTTTCAAGCTTTGATAGTGTTTAATTGAAAATGGTATAGAAAGGGCTAGATCTAATGTGTTCACATTATTAAAAACTGATACCAGATACAACTTTTAAGTTCATTCTTTTTCAAACGCAAGTACCATATTGGCAACCATAATATTGTCATAGGTGTTCTGTTCATTTAACTATTCTTGGGGGGGGGATGGCATTTGGATAATATATGTGTACATATATATATATATACATATATATATATAGATAAATATATACATACAGTATATAACCTAAAGCTCTGAGAGCTCCTAAGTCAGGAATGCTGAGTATTATAGTATATTGAGGTCAGATGAAATTTTACATTTTTTTGTGTTCTGTTGCATCCCGTCTAGTAGTTTCTATGACGTGTTATTCCAGCACTCATGATTGAGTTTTACTAATTTTCTTCCAAGTTTTTTATTATTATTTTTTGGCTTGATATTTTTCAATGTTACTGGTCACTTGAAACTCCCCCCACCTCCTAAAAAAGTATTCAGTTTTCATGCCTTGTCTGTGGCAGGGATAACAGTGGTAAGAATATTCAGAAGATAGCTTTTGAAAGGAACCACTTATTTTTCAAAAATCATAAAAATCATCCTGGGGGAGGAATTTTGGTATTTAGTTTGAGCAGGGATTTTGTCAGAACGTGTATTTTGGTGGTAGATCAGCAGCAGTGCTAGTATCGGAAAGCACAATACCAGTCAGGCAGCTGTCCGATCAGAAGTCATCTTACCGAAGTTTATCTCTGTCTCTCAGGACTAATCCCTACTGTCCTTCCCCATTTGGAGCGGCATGTGGAATCATACAAAGGCTTAGGAGAAGCAAGTTTGTTTAAAACAGGATGCTTTTTTACTTATTTGAAGGACTTCAGTTGAGATTTCTTTTCATATTTAATAAGTTTTTAATTCTGTGATCAGCTACAGTTAGCTGTTAGCATAAATTGGTTTTGTTTTATTTGAAGATCAAAGGCTGCTTCGTTCTGTGGATTATTAAATAAGGCTTACATATCTTAAGATTTTGAATTAAAGTGGGCTTGGAATACTAATTATATACCTTTGCAGTTATTTTCAAGAGGCTTTATTTTGTTGCCCTTGTAGCACCGAAGACTATTGGTATATTATCTCCCATTAAGATAAAAGTTGTATATTTATTTGGATTATATTTACATTATATTCTTTGTAAATGTTTGGTGTAACTTGCACTTTTTAAAATGACCCAGTTTGGGTATTAGCCACTTAAGAAATTCCCTCATCAGCTAATTATCAACCAGCTTTTTGGTCTTTCTCCTCTCTTCAAATCATGACTTTCTTTATGGAAGCTTTTCATTGATTAGAGTATTTTAGCACCTAAAAGTTAGGCTTAAAAATAGCTATAAACAAAAAATATGGATTTGATTGATAATTAAAAGATAGGCTCAATCATTTTCATGATGGATAAAGATTGAAAGAAAAGTGATATAAGTGAATATTTTCAGTTTCAGATGAAAATTTATACTCACCCCAACATTATCATCTTCAGTTTGCTTAAGTATCCATTAATTTTTCTAGAATAGTAAATTTTTTTTTAATTGGCTTTTGCCATAGGGCACGTGTTGTCACTGGAGAGACACAGCGAGGAGGGAGATGGCCACACCGCCATCCCTTCTCCATTCTCCACTCTTGGGCATGCATGCACACATACCTGGCATGATTTTCAAGCTGCTGGGTCCAGGATGCAAACTGATTGTAGGCCATATGGGAGTCCAGCTCCTTAACCACCATGCCAACTGCTGGCCCCAGTAAAAAAAATTATTTTTTTGAGAGGTTTTTGCTATAGGGCGCGTGCGCTCGCCAGACAGACAAGACAGAAAGTGAGAAATCACCCCCCAGGGGGGATGGCCACGCCGCAATCCCTTCTCCTCCATTCTCCTCTTGGGATTTTGGGCACGCATGCACACGTGCCCGGTGTGAGTTTAAGCCACTGGGTCTGGGACTCAAACCGCAGTCAACTATGTGGGAGTCCAGCGGCATAGCCATTACGCTAACTGCTGGTCCCCCCCAAATTTTTTTAAAACAGTTTTTGTCATCATTCAGATTACATGTAATAATCATTGTATCAAATTGCTTTCACTTTAAATTGGCTTAATTTATATCAAAGAAATGCTGCCTAAATTTGACTGATTTCAGATAAAAAGGGGGGAGTAAACTGTGCTTAGCCTGCAGGTAAAGAATTGTGGGATAAATTTGTTCACTCAGTTGTACAAAGCACAACTAGAACTTGTTGGGTGGCTTACACACACCTTGAATACTTTTAATAATGATTTTTTAAGTTGACTACATAGTCATTGCATGTACTAGGAACTGGTTTCCTTGACTTTCTTTCTAGAATCAATGGCTAGGGGAGGCATTAATCCTTGAGAGGTTGAACACACCATAAAGCTGAGTCAGTATGGAAGAATTTCAAATAAAACAGGGTGCTGAAGTTCCATCTGTCTCATTTGCTTATGGTAAGTTCTTACTGATTAGTGAATGTAGCTTAAGCCTTTGTATGTGTCCTCAGGGGGCAGACAGACTTTTAAGAGAGGGACCAGATAATGTTTGGATAGAGGGATTATATTTCAGGTGTTTTAGCTTGAAATTTATTTTTTAAAAAAAGAAAAATTCTAAAAAAAATAAGTAAAATAGAACAAAGCCTGTGAAGCTAGCTGGCATTATAAACAGGCAGAGTTTAGCACAGAGAGAAAATACTGATCTGTCTGCATTCTGGTACTGTGGGTGCAGGTCCCAGCTGGGTATAAATAACATGTTACACTTTTAATTATTCTCACCAGCAAGTAGCAGGAAGTGAACAATCTTCAGGAAATGTCTTTGAGAAGGGTCAAATCATAGGAAATTCCATTTAACATACTTTATACAGGCATTATTTAATACTTGCCTATTAAATATGGCATTTCCAAGCTTTTGTCTGAGGAGCATCTCAGAGATGTGAGAATAAATCTGAGATAGTTTTAAAAAATGGTAGGGAAGAAAGAAAATCCCTGCAGATGATGACCTGAATTTAGTTGGCCAAGTGAAATGATCTGTCATTGTGTTTGGGAGGTTTTATTTTCTTATGTTTTTAAAACTGAATTGGTAAATGCTTTATAGATGTATTTTTATCCAGGTGCCACTCCAATTTGTGTATGTAATAAAATTATTTATATTAAAAGCAAGAAATAATTTGTCAACATTTTTCTGTGAGTTTAGATTTATTA